GGAAGAGGAGTACGAACAACTTAAGGGTGTGGAGATGAAACCTGGTTAATAAATCAGACACATATTTTTAATGGGACAGAAATAAGCCAGCCGATAGTCAAATAGCTTGGACACCTAGGAAAAAGTATAAATCCCTCAAATCCTTCATGGCAAAGCAACGACCAAGGCAGGAAATAAATGTGGAAATAAAGGAAGGGGAATTACCAATAATTAATAATAATGTCATTCACATATAAAGAGCAGAGGACCCATGTCAGAAAATAAAGAGTAGAGGACCCATGACAGAAAATAAACAAAGAACTATCGGACTTACTATAGACAAAACCATGAGTCAATAAGAAACAACTAAACCTGTAAAACCTAGAAGGCTGACGCATATAAACTTCCTCAGTTAGATTACCATGAAGAAATGCATTTTTCACATCTAAATGATGAATGGTCCAACGAAATGACATATCAAGAGATAAAACAAGACGGGCATCTGTGGGTTTAACGACAGGACTGGAAGTCTCAGAAAAATCCACACCAGCTTGTTGAGTAATCCCCTGTGCCACAAGACGTGTCTTATAACGCTCAATTGACCCATCAGAATTGAATTTGGTCTTATAAATCCATTTAGACCCAACCACATTTTTACGATGATTAAATGGAACTAAATCCCAAGTATAATTATCAATAAGTTCATTAAACTCCTCTCCCATAGCAGTTCTCCATTTAACATCTCTATTTGTCACAGAAAAACAAGAAGGATCACATGCTGAAATATCTGTTTTGAGATTAAAAATAGACATGAGTTTAAAATGCGCGACTTAGCATGGGTTTGCATAGGATGACAATTCACATGGGAAGGTGTTGGCGGGGGAGAAGGCTCAGACGGACCGTTGGGAGGTGTGGTGGTCGAGAAGGATGGTGATTTTGGAGCGGAAACGTCTGTGGGGGTTGAGCTGGATCTGCGGCTAAGGAAATGGGCAGTGGGCAATGGAAGAGATGCATGTTGGCTCTGCTCAGGAGAAACAACAGGCTGGTCGGTGGCTGATAGTCTATTGTGGCTGCTAGACGTCCGACTGCCGTCAGAAAATGGTGGACCGGGGTGAGGTGCAGGGGCATATGGGGTAACAGGTAGAGTGCTCTCATGAAGGCTGACTGATGTTGCCGGAGACAGTGATGACAAAATTGTTTGAAGAAGAAACCAAGTCGGAATAGGGGAAATAATTTTTATGAAAGCGTACATTCCTATTGATGTTAATCTTGTCAGTAATAGGTTCGAGACAACGATAACCTTTGTACTCGTGGGCATATCCTAAAATACACATAAGATGGATCTAGGAGAAAGTTTATTGGCAGAAGGCATTACAGTTTGGAAAACAAGCACAACCAAACCCGCGCATAAAAGAGAATTCGGGAGAATGATGAAATAATTTTTCAAAAGAAGAAGCACCAATTAAATTCGGAGCAGGGGACGATTAATAATATAGGTAACGGTAAACACCACATCAACACAAAATTGAGCCGGCATTTTTGCCTAAAAAATCATAGTGCGGGTTAATTCAAGAATATGACTATGTTTTCTCTCAACAACTCCATTTTGTTGAGGAGCATCGAGGCAAGATTTTCAAAATAAAATACCATGCCTGAGGAAAATATCACGCTTACCATGATTATCAAACTCACCCCTCCGTCACTTTAAAAAATTTTAAATTTGGAGTCAATTAAATTTTCAACCATTAATTGAAAATGTTGAAAATGTCTCACATTTTCACTTTTATTGCTCATAGGATAAAGCCAAGTAAAACGAGAAAAATCATCAATGAATAAAACATAATATTTAAAACCACTTTCAGAGAGAACAGGAGATTGCCAAACATCAGAATGAATTAAAAATAAAAGAGCAGTAGATTTATGCTAGACTTCTTGAAAAGGTAATCGTTGTGATTTTCCTAACTGACAAGAAATACAATCATGAGAAAAATTAGAAATACTAAGAATAGTTTCAGACTTTTTCAGTTTATCTAAAATGCGATTGGCACAATGTCCCAAGCGACGATCTCAGACTGGTCCGGGAGCAACGAGAGTTGAGGGAAATTGGCGAAGGATGAGTAAGGGAAATAGGGTAAACACCACCATTACTGGAAGTCTGAAGGAGCACCTTCCCCGAAATTGTGTCCTCAACATAGACAAAATTTTTATAAAAAATCACAGAACAATTATTATCGGCACATAATCGTTGAATAGAGAGTAAATTATATTTAAGATGAGGAACATGATAAACAGATTTTAAATAGAGAGGCCGAGGTGGCATAGATAAATGCAAATTACCAACAGTCATAACATGTAAATTAGATGCATTAGCAACCGTAACAGTTAATGGTCCAGAATAAATAGATTTATTTTCCAAAATACCTTCATTAGAAGTCATATGAGCAGAAGCACCTTAGTCGGGATATCAAACAGCCGGAGTGGATTCGCCAATAGAGACAGCCAAAACATGAGCCTAGGCTTAGCAAAGTGAGGACACACAATAGCTGAATGACTGGAAAATGACATATTTGGCAGACGATAGGTGGAGGAACTGAATCAAATCTATTCTCAAAGGATGGAAATCCTGCAGAAGCATAGTTAGTACAAAAAGTAGATAGTGCAGGAGTATAAGACAATGACTCAACTATATTACAAAAAATTGTACCAAATTGTCCCAATTATTATGCTGATGAGGTCCGCGACCGGAAGAGGCATGTGGCTAGTGCTATGGACCCTGGCCGAAGTACTGTGGAGGCTGGCCGAAGACCTGCGGCTGAAACTATTGTTGTTGGTGTAGTCCACGACCATAGCCACGCTGACATCGGTTACCTCGACTTCCGTCACGCCGCCCACGATGTGAGTGCTGCTGTCCACCAAAAGAGGATGCCACTGGAACACCCCCTTCCGAGAAGGATGCCGCGAAAGCCAGAGCACCAACGACGGATTCCAAGGACTGTTGATAATGCAAGAGTGCCTCTAGATGGACTAATTTGGTGCATAATGAGTCAAAGGTGAGACCTTCAGGAAACAAGGTAAGTGGTCCCACAAGTGACTCATATTCCGGACCTAACCCCTAAAGTGTGTGTTGCAAAAGGTCAGGATTGGATACTGGGGAATTAATAGAGGCCAGGGAATATACAATTGTCTTGATCCCACAAACATACTCTTCCGTGGACTAGTTTTCCTTCTTTTTAGTATGAGACAACATGCGTTTCAATTCCATGGAGCGTGCGAGACTGGCAGCCATGAATCGGGACTCCAAACGTTGCCATATGGCGGTGGAATTTTTCAATTCTGGAACTTACATCAAAATTTTACGGGAGAGAGTAGCAAACAGCCAAGCGCAAACAGTTTGGTCCAATTTTAACCAGTGATAATATTCACGATTAATTGTCTAAGCTTGATATAAATCATAGGTGTAAAGAGGCGGAGCCGGAAGTGTGTCATCAAGAATTCCCAAGAGACCATTAGCAACTAAAAAGGACTCAAATTGAGTACGTCATGACAACTAAAAAGGCCAATAATTTCGTGGTCACAATTTGGGTAATAGAGACACGAAAAGTCATTCCTTGAGCGAAAGTAGCAAAAGACACCGGTGGGCGACTGTCGGCCTGGCGTCGGCCTATTGCGCCAGCCGAGGCATGCAGTAGCAACCCGGGATGTGGTACCCTTATTATTCTTGATACCATGTGAGAATAATAGAATTCTTTACTAATGTGGTACCCCTAGATGTCATATATATCTATAATAAACTAGTATTGTGCCCGTGTGATGCATGAGATATTAGTTTTTTCAAAAAGAAAAATATTTCAATTAATACTATAGTATGTTATTATGTTACCAATGTGGTACCCCTAGATGTCATATATTTATAATAAATTAGTGTCCCAAACACATTAGGAAACCTACAAAATATAGAAGACCTAATTACAGTATTAATTAAAATACTAGTTTCGACCGTAATTTTGTTTCTTTTCTTAAGGTTTTTTTTCCCTCAAATGGTCAACATGTTAAATATAAATTGTAGGAACATGACTTTTAACACTGTCAATTTACAGAATAAGGAGATTTATTAGTTTAGGGACAAAAAATGATGATTATTGTTTAAGTACCATTTCTGCGTTTTACCTTTATTACTGTATTATTATTATTATATTATTATTATTATTATTATTATTATTATTATAATTATTATTATTATTATTATTATTATTATTATTATTATTATTATTATTATTATTATTATTATTATTATTATTATTATTATTATTATTATTATTATTATTATTATTATTATTATTATTATTATTATTATTATTATTATTATTATTATTATTATTATTATTATTATTATTATTATTATTATTATTATTATTATTATTATTATTATTATTATTATTATTATTATTATTATTATTATTATTATTATTATTATTATTATTATTATTATTATTATTATTATTATTATTATTATTATTATTATTATTATTATTATTATTATTATTATTATTATTATTATTATTATTATTATTATTATTATTATTATTATTATTATTATTATTATTATTATTATTATTTATATATTCCTCATCATACTATATTAATTAATTGTGTTGTCTTCATGTTAATTAAGTTGATTTTTTAGGACAGGAGAGAAAAATCTCTTACTCTTTGAGCGCGTTTGGTAACACTAAAATTGACTGAATTGGCCGATTTTGCTGAAATTTATGAAATTCTGGCTGAAGTGGCTGAATGGGCTGATTCTGCTGATTCATGAAAAAATTATATTTCAAATATTCGTTATTAATAAATTAAATAAAAAATTATATGAAAAATAGTTAAAATGATTCTCTACAGTAACTTTAGTCAATACAGCCAGAAAAGTAACTACAACATTACTTTTTCTGCTTATTACAAAATTCAGCACACGAAATCAAAAGTTACGTGTTTGGTGAAAAAGCTGACTGATAAGCCGAAAAAAGGGGTCACCAAACAGGCTCTTTAAGTTGATATGATACTATGTTGAAAAGTACAAAAAACAAGCTTTGATTTATTTTTCACACTCAAATGACTCAATAGTCAATAGTACGAGCTGGAAGAAATATATACACTCGAAGGCTCACATTCATAGTGTATACTTCGTATATGCATATCAAAATACAAAACATGTGGAATGCTACAAACACAGCAACAAACAAAAGTAAGAAAGACAAACAGGTAGCTTAGGAATTTAACACGCGCACCCCCTAATTACAACAGCGATTTGGCAACTAAGAAGACTTTAGGCCGAGTTTCTTCCTCGCCTCGCCAACAAACAAATCCTCAGACTTTATCTTTCCAGGAATCCGTCCGGAAAAGGTTTTGCACCCAACTTGCATCACAGCATGTCTTCTCCCTAGAGAAACTATAGCCATTTTGATACCGGGCTTATACTTTGCGAGTTTCTGCTCCTTTGCTCCACTTATCAATAGCTTCACATTCTTGGCAGCCAACAATGCATGGTTTTGAGCTATAAATCCTTGCTTTAGTTCCTAAACATTGTAAACACATAATACAAAATGCAAATCAGTCATATGTCACCAAACCGTGCAAATTGTTAAAAAAACATCAAAGTTTCTATTTTTGGCCTCATGACTATCAACTATGAAGTCAATGACCAGTATTTGTACCCTACTTCCACTTTTTACTTTAATGCATGATTACATACATTTTGCCAAACTTTGGTCCTTACCGGTGATATGTTAGAGGCTATAAATAAACCAGAATCACGTGGAAATTGGCATCATGAGTGGTTGAATGAACAAAAGAAGAAACAGATTCAAATATTACGAAGAATTGAAAAAATAATCTAACATCAACAAATCGCTCAATTCTCATAAAATCTTATCACATTTTTTTGGTCTCATTCCCACTTTTGGTTCCCGGCTTTCATTTTCCACTTTTGATGCATAACCAGTTGGGGAATAAAATGGGAAAGGGCCAATAATCATGGGGCTGGAAGTGATTATTTTTTAAGGAAATCATTAGCCTTTAGAATGCTTTGGTTGATACTTAAAGGAGAAGATTCAGTATTGGCTTACTTTGATATCAACAATGTCTCCTATGGCAAATATATTATTGTGACCCTTGACCCTCAAGTTTGCATCAACCATTAACTTCCCTTGGTTATCCAAGCTATCTCTCAAATCGGTATCCTTTAGCCACGAGGTGCCAAAAGGCTTAGCAGCACATAGAAAATGGCAATCTGCAACTACAGTTTCTCCCCCAGATAACCGATATACACCGTTTGAGGGCGATCTCAAGTCAACGGATTGCCCGAGGATGACATTAACCTTCTTTGAAGTTAACCACTTAAGCGCCCTGTTCCCGGCCTTTTGTCCTATGAATTCCAGCAGTGTTGAATGCTTGTGCACAAGTGTCACCTTTTTACTGGGAAAATCAATGGCTATTTCGGCAGCCAGCTCTACGCCCGTCGGCCCCCCCTCCAACTATCAGTATGGAATTAGCAGATTGGATAGTATCATTCTCTGTCAGGAAGAAACGGATGCATCAATTGACTGAATGTCATAAATCTTGAATAGACATCATCACAAATTCAATTGCCATGCAATCACACCCATACGAGTAAAGGCAATGAGCATGTTATTGCTACTTTTAGTCTTTTGACTTTTTTCCAGACACTTATCCGGCAAAAATCGATTGGAGAAATGGCTGGAAAAGTGGTTAGAAAGACCAAAAGAGGCAAGAAACTATACACCAAAACTAGAAAAATAAAACCCGGTAGCCTGAAGTTGGAATGAACTAATGGTTGTGAAACCAGAAATGGAAAATTTTTGAGAGGTCATTGCAAGCGATCATTATTCGAACATATGGAAGACTATATATGAATGTTTATGTCAATTAGGTATGATATGGTATCAAACTCATCTCTTTGGTAGTAATTGAGTTTCTCCTGTCTTGTGGAACTGCCATTCTCCAAATGACCAGTGGCAACAACAAGATAATCATATGCAATTCGTTGGCCGTGTTTTGTCATAACCTCATTCCTTGTGATGTCCGTAGCTGGAGATGAAATAATGCGTGCATTGTGAAGGTATTCGCTGTGATTAATCACTGTCCTTGTTGCAAATGACGGTTCAACCATTGACCTTAAGCTTGCCCATGAAATCTCAAAATACTCCTTCCTGTTGTGGTAGTAAGTTATAGTTCGATTAACTCATCCATAACAACACAAACACAGCGCAATAGAGAAAATCAAAGCACATCAGCATGAGAAACTTTTATTTGAATTTGTAGTCTAGAAACCATTAAGTTAAAAATTATAATCAAGAGAAACACCTACATTTGAACACAAATTAATCAACTATCAACCAAAATGTCACTCAAAACCCAAATTCAGAGCTCGTTTAGCTCATCTTATCATCTGAATAAGACAATAAGTATACTAAGAAACTTTTAACTTACTTATTCAAATGAATCATGAATATGATTTTACCAAACAATTTGGTTTTCACAAAACCCAATGGCTCCGGCTATTCCAGCCAATAATCCTTAACAAACACGCTCTAACTTAGTGAAGCTCAGAAACTGGTTTTACAGAAGGATTTTGTGTTCAGAAAATTCAGCAGAATCGGCAATATCAACCGACTGCCTCACCTAAACGGGCTCTCATTTGACTATTTGAAATTCTCAGATTCATATTTCCATACAAAAGCTGAGAATTAAAATCCGCATTAAATGGATGCTTACGAATCAATGAGGAAAACATCACAGTAGTTCTGAAGGATATATGCCAGAAGAGAGCCTCCAACTCCTCCGCCGACAATCACAACATTTTTCTTCTCCGACATTGAACTTCACATGATACCGCCGCTCCAGAACCAATTCGAATTCAGATAACTGTAAAAAATCGAAGAATACAAGAAAAGTTGATTTGTGATTCTGTGGAAAAAACTGAATGAACGTCGAGTTTATATACACGCCCGCACGAGGCAACATGTGGATCATGTTTGGGATAAAATAAAATAAACGGATAATTGAATTTTGGGAAGGATGGAAAAGTAAACTTCGCGTCTGCTTCCGTGCTTCGCTGTGTTGAAGAAAAAACAGTAAGAAATGCTAAGCGGAATTTGACTTCCACTAAATGTAGACGTAATTCATGGCGTATGCATGTATTGATATTGATAGGAGGAAATAGCCAATTGTGTACGTCAATTTGTATGATTTAGAGTAAAGAGTAAAGCAAAATATTGTTTGTATCCACCTCTTATACACTTATACCTATCCTTATCATTTGGAGTGGTGTGGAGGTATAAGTTAGCAGAAAAATAAAAATCAAAACACTGTTTTCATATGGACGGAGTTCATTTTTAACATTTTAGCCTCCAGCCCACTCTAAATGGTCTTATAGTGTCAACCCCCTTCATATTTAACCCCTTCACCTCCTTTCCACTTTACCACCTATTTAAGTCTACCACTACATGAGATCGGGAGTACAAAATTTTCATCTTTAACATTTTGGACTCTTAATACTGCACAACTCTAAGTAGTTTTAGACTATCCGCAACATAGTCTGTCAATAAATTTAATATCCCGCTAGTTTATACGTATGCACCCAATCAATCAAGTTTTTCCCTACAATCCATCACTGTCAATATATTCACTCAACACATATTTTTTAAAACTAAATGCATGAATCCTTACTTTTTAGGAAAAATTGATAGTAATAATCTCAACTATTGGTGGTCCGCTCATAATAATCTCAACTATCGATTATTTCAGAATAATCCCAACTTTAGGGACCTTCTGCCAATAATGGTCCCTATGAATAAATTTTTGTAGTTTCTGAAGTGGATGAGAAAAGATATAGCAAGTAATCTCTATAAATAATCCCAACTTATATTTTTTAAGCTTAATTTCGATTTAAAAATCACTTGTTATAGGAGGTAATATCTGGTCATGGACTATTATTGGTGGACGGTCAATATAGTTGGGATTATACAAAAATAATCAATAGTTGAGATTATTATCAGCGGACCGGCAATAGTTGAGATTATTATTTTCAATTTTTCCTAAAACTTATACGGAGTATCATTCAAAAGTTTTCAATGTTGTGAAAAAAATTGCCTCTATTGTAGTTTGATGATGATGATCTCTTGGATCATAATTTAGTAGACCCATGAATATTGTAGAATCTTTTTGATAAGGAAGTTATGATAATATTCTTTTAATGTAGCCGTGCGATGCACGATACAAGATATTTCCGAATAAGCTAAAGGTTAATAGTTGTTATGAATAACGGAAAAATATGAAATTCTACAAAGCGTGATAGTAAGTTAGTAAGTTTTTGATACCTTCTCTATGAAATACATTAAGATGTAACTTCCATCAAATACGGATTAATATTAGTATCAACATATAGGAAGTTTCTTCTCTATATGTAATAAAAATATTACATATTGATGGAGTATATGGCCCAGGAACCCCCGGCCCATAGACTCCTACTTCTCCTACACAAGTTCATTGGGCCCAGGGAACAACTCAGGCCCAAAATGCAGCGGCCCAAGCCTCAACGTAGCCCAGAATACACACTGGGGTGCCTTCGGCCTCCTTGGCCGAAGGCTCCAAACCTCACAGGGTAGCCTTCTCTGGCATAAGAGGCTACTGGGAGAAAACGGCGAAAAATATGAGCCTTCGGCATTATCGAGCCCTCGACATCAGAGAAGCCCCCGGCTAAACCATGCCTCCGGTCACACAGGGCCTTCGGCTACACAGGGATCCTTGGCTACATGGAGCCCTCGGCAACACAAGGAGCCCTCGGCCACGCACACTCAATCATCGAAGATTCCTTTTAGGGACAGCCAACCACCGCATTTAATGCCACGTCACGTCCGCCAACCGCATTCAATGCGGTGGACGTACCACTGCCGGTGCCAACCGGCTGATGTGACCCTTCGGCCGTTGGATTACTGACACGTGTACTCCCATCGCATTTATTGCTGCTATAAATAGCAGCCCATTTCTCCTTGTAATCTACATCATCTACACCTGAACTCCACACGCTGAGTTCATTTAATAAAATCGACTCTCTCTCCTCCTATTTACTCTGACTTCTCTCTAAGTTATTCCCACAATAACCCCTCGGATAAGATACCCCCCGGGTAGACCATCCATCATTTGGTGCTCTCGTTGAGAGGTCTGAACTATCAAGTAAGAAACCCTCCCCCTCTACCAAACACAAAACACTTACCAAAAATGGGAAGAACCACCCGTGCCCAGTCCAAAACCCTTGAGGAGAACCACGTAGCCCCCGGCGAAACTAACGGGGCTGAGGCCTCCAACAGGCTCTTAGTACCCGAGGGTGGTATCATCCTCGAATTAGAGCAAGCCACCGCTGACCTACGTCAACAGCTGCAGAAGAACACCCCTGATGCCCGCATTGGCCTTGATAATCGAAGGAGGGATCGGAGTGAGAACCAAGTTCCCCCTCCGGCCTCGGCCATCGATCTTCAGGCTGCCTTTGCGGCCTTTGTTCAAAACATGGCTCTCAATTCCGGAGCCCTCGCCTCTCAGGCACCCCTTCAGCCCTACGCCGGAGGAAACGTTATTCAATTACCACCACTCCCTCCTTTGTTCAACAACCCTCCCCCGGGGGTTGGCAATGCCGAGGGGGTCATAGCACAGGATACCGCCTCCCAGGAGGCCCAATCCAGGGACAAGCGCCTCATGATGAAGGAGAAGCCCCGAACCTCTGCACTTGAGAGGCTTGGGGGAGTTCCCGGCCGCCGAGGGATCCAAGACCGCCTCGGCAAGCAAGAATATAGTAGGCCACGGGAGAGTGGTGCCTCCGCTTCGGGAGCCGAGGGCGTGCCTCCCCCCCGAAGCAAAGGTAAAGCCCTCCTCCATGCCGATGACGCCAGGCACCAAATCAATCAGGCGCAATCCTTCCGGGCCAACTCCCAAGGGGTTGCCCCGAAGGATCCCAAGGACGAGATCATTGAAGCCCTCCTCCGTCAACTTGAGGAGAATCGTCAGGTACCCCCGACGGCATCCACGGTGAGGCCAGATCCAGAGTACGCTGACCTCCGGGCGCAAGTGGAAGAAATGAAGCGTAAGCTCGCCGAAGGCTCAGGCGAGCCCCTCATTCAACTCCGCACTAGAACACCCTTCACCCCAAGGGTGTTGGCGGCCAAAATCCCCCACAAATATCGGGGGCAACCTATCAAACCATATGAGGGGAAGACGGATCCCCAAGAACACTATAGCCGCTATCAAAATAGCATGATGATGATGGGGGCCTCGGATGAATACTTATGCCGTTGGTTCCTTTCCACCTTGGAGGGGCCCGCGTATGAGTGGTTCAACCGATTGCCCGAAGGCAGCATTGACTCTTGGCAAGAACTTGCCCACCGCTTCCTTACACAGTTTGCCGGGAGGCACCGCTCAAAGAAACACTTCTCCCACCTCCTGAACGTGAGACAACAGAAGGAGGAAACCCTTCGGAGTTTCTTAGAACGCTGGAGGCTGGCCTCCCTCGAGGTCAAAGGCGCCGATGACAGGACCCTGATGGCCCTCTTCCATACCGTCCTCCGCAACGGTAACTTCTCCAGGAGTCTCATCAACGATCCCCCCCGCGACTATACCAAGGCCCTTCAGCGGGGGGACCGATATGCTGAGGCGGAGGAAATCGAGAAGGACCGCCGCAACACGGATCCTTCTCAGAAGAATGAAGGCAGGAATCGACCCGGAGGGCCTCCCCCTCCGGCCAACCGCGAGGCCTAATATAATGATCGCCCCCGAGGTGGCCAAGCCAGAACCGGGGGCGGTTACAAGAACAATCCGAAGGCGTGGGCGCAACCCGTCCTCCTTGAGCACCCACGCACTCCCTTGACGCATCCCGTCAGCGTCATTCTTGATCATGCAGAAGAACGGGGGCTCGTTGAGCGAGACTCCCGTACACCCCTCGAGATTTATGCCATCGGTCCTGATGAGCCCTACTGCCGCTTCCACCGCCACCATGGACACAAAACCGACGACTGCCATCAGCTGAAGAACGCCATCGAGAGGCTGATACAGGCGGGCCACTTGTCTCAATTTATCAGGGGCCCTCCTCCCCAGGGCCCCCTCCACCATCAAGGGCCTCCGCCGAAGGCCAACAAATGGGTGAACCCCAACACCATCCCCTTGGGAAACCCACAGGGGAAGAAGCGCGAAATTGGGGGCCTCGATGACGAGGGAGAGGGCTCCCATCAGCAATACAAGCGCCACATTCACATGATCAACGGCGGCAACACCGGAGGCGATTCAACAAGCCAAAGGAAGAAATGGGCACAGTCCCTTTACATTGGGGAAGTCAATCACATACCCCCAACTAAAAGGCCGAGGGCGGATCCAATCTTCTTCACGGATGCGGACCTCCCCTCGGGTTCTCTGCCGCATAGGGATGCCTTCGTCATCCGCACTGAGATCAACGACGCCATCATCCACCGGACTTACGTCGACACGGGGAGTTCTGTCAACGTCATGTATCTCAGCACTTTCCAAGAGTTGGGACTCGATAGGGGGTCCATTCGGCACATCAACACCCCCTCTCCGGATTTACGGGGGATAGCATAGACGCCGAAGGCGTCATCACCCTCATAGTTGAATTCGGCGACGGGTCCCATAGAGCAAAGCTCGAAGTGGAATTCGTCGTCGTCAACCTCGACTGCGCACACAACATCATCCTCGGCCGGCCTGCCCTCGAGGACTTAGAAGCCATCATCTCCATGAGACACCTCTGCCTCAAGTTCCCCACGCCCGCCGGCATCGGCTATTCGAGGGGGAATCAAAAACTCTCCAGGGCCTGCTACCTCCAACTTACCAAGAAGGTTAGTAAAACAGAGTTTCGTGTGGACACCATCACCACCAAGGCCTTGGAAGAGGAAGAGGGTAGGCCGAGGGCTGAGCCTGCCGAGGAGACCGAAGACTTGATACTCGATCCGGCCAAGCCTGAGA